CATCAGGCTTTTCTAACAGCTAGCCAGTGACCATTTTATACTCCTGGGTCCATGATGATTAAATAGAAGTTGATTAATGCAAACCCAGGGTTAAATTTTAACCCTGGTTTCTCTATTCCTTTGTTTAAGAGCCTTTTTCCTATAATTTTCTCTTTTCATTTCAGAACATCTAAACATCAAACTATAGACAAAAAAAAAAGTAAATTCAATATTCTTTTAACACTTTCAGATGTAAAATCAGAATTCACACTAACCCTGGGTTTTCTTAACCCTTTAACCCCTGCGAGTGATTAGCATCTAATTTCTCCTTACAATGTCACCCCTGAATCACACACAAAGGTCATGAGAATAAAGGAAAATGATCACCAACAAAAGATACTCTTGGTTGTTAAACAAATTCTCCTTGTCCGCAACTTGGGAAATGTACAGACAAAAGTATGGAGAATACGCAGACTGATGTTCGGGTGTACAGGGTTAACCCAGCTTTGAACAACCCAACTGTGGATGGAGAGAGACACTGTGGCAGTACAGTGCTTTGCCCAAGAACACAAAAATTTGATGTGGCCAGGTCTTGGACCCAGACCTCTTGACCTGGGGTCCAGTGCACTGACCATTAGGCCACTGGAATAGGCCATCAGCTCTACTCACTTTTATTTCTGAAGACTCATCTGAAATAGTATTTGTCAAGAACATTTCTAATTTGTCCTTATTTGACTGCACTTAGTAGAGAAATTGTACAGGGTTACCTTCCACAAAGCAGTCAATCTTAGAAGATACTTACATGTCGTGACACAAAGCATGAAAGAGGTCCAATCTCAGTGAACAACCCAACCTGAAATAAATATATTGACAACAAATCCTATGAGAAATTTTCATTGTTGATTAGTTAAGGGCCATTTGCAATTTTTCAACCAATTGCAAGAAGAGATCAAAGAAAAGAAAGAAGGTTTCAGGCCAAATTAGTACAATTGATCATGGTTAAATTTTGTTAGAAAATTCTACTTCTACAAAGGAAAGGAATAAATTTAGACATTGGCCACAAGAAATTCTAGCAAAGGCACCTTAAGACAGAGGTGACAAATTCTTTCACACTAGGACAGGAGATTTTCTACCTTGTTTACTTGTGTGACTACCGCATCCAGAACTTCTCCTTTAAAAGGCCTGAAAACAATAGCCTGTAAAAAAGAAGATTTGTAACAACAAAGGGTAAATGAATCATTCAATGATGTCCAATTCCACTGAGCATTAAATAGACACAGACAAAGTAATCAGAACAGAGGAAACTATTACCTGTTGAGCAATAAAAAAAATCTCCCCTCTTTTAAATGAACCTCTGCTAACCTTATATTTAACAGGATACACAACAAATCCACGTCCTGGTTGGATGTGACCGACTCCTATGTTGTCAATAGTGGTGACAGCTATAATAAAACCATACCTGAAGAACATATGAAAGTTCAACATGTTAGAATTCTGATGATCAACTCAACTTAAATTTGGCTGATACAAATCCGTGGTTTATAGACAAAATTTACCTAATGACCCTGAAATAGGGACATTTGATTCTTTGTGAGGAGGAATTTATACCATATGGCATTGACTTGTTTCATTGACAGTAATGATGATAATTTCCAATGTAAAAGAAATTCAAATCTACTTCAACTTGAAAATAAAAATAATAGATTAATTTATTGTTTTATACTCAGAATTTTCTTAAAAATTTGTAACAATAAAATAAATAGACTGTAATACTTACAGAAATATTGATTGCCTTATTTACTCACTTTCCGGCTGAGAATGATGACCAAATATTCCTCTGAAAACTCTGATGTCCGTTATATGCAAGGGATCCCCCCGGCCCCCCACCTTGTAATAACATTCATTTGATAGATGCATAATTTACTGAGATTCTTGTGAAAATGGATACTACATTAATTTTAAGGGAACAGTGTATTTACTGCGATAGATCAACACTCTTTAATCTTATTCTTCCCTCTAGGGGAGACACAAAAAAAAGGAAAAACAAAGAATAAATTAACTACTTACTTTCCGCTACAGGTCCCTTCAACTTCAGTGAACAACTTCTGCTTCACAGTTTGCAGCAAGTTCGGCCCAAAGTACCGTGGATGAAGCAAGATTTCATGTTCCAGTGAGATCTGAAGACAAAAATAAAAATCAGCTTGAGCATTTCGCTTCATTTAGTGCTAATCATAGCCGTTTTTAAAGCAATAACCGAAGGGAACTCTCACATGGTAGAACATCTTGATTCAAACAAGCATGGCTGACTTAGCGACCACGCAATTTGCCGAATGTTGCTTAGTAGCCTGGCAAATTGACGTTCTTAGGAGAATTTCAACGCGATCGCAGATTGTAAATATGGAGAACGAGAATGTTTTGATAAAGCTCTTTAGTTTGTTTGAAAGTTTTATTCAACAGGTAAAGTTTTTGGGTGATTTCCTATTAACTACATATCAACGAGAAGTGCATAACAATTCGGAATGTTTTTCTCGAACAGTTACCATTGCCCGCAGAGCTGGTTGATTTTACATTCTGCCGGGAAAAACTTTTGAAAACTGCAGTCTACGAGAACACTGTTTTGGGACATCTTTCGCGACTCGTGGAAGATATCAAGTTTCTAAAGGTATTTGCTTCAATCGATTTTTAATTTAGATAATCTACACGTGTAGACAAGTGGCATTTTTGCCAATCAATCAATCAATCAAACAATCAACATCTTTAAGGATCATTTTATCCATTTGAAAAATTATTCAGAAATTGGGAGTGTTGGCAATGTTACTGTCCTCTCGTTGCTGCGATTCTTCAATTTAGTGTACTAACTGACTTCGCCCACCACTACCTCTGACTTCTTAGTACCCTGCAGTGAAGCATATCTCACCTATCCCTGTGTAATATCTTTTGTCTTAGGTAAGACCCCCCTCTCCGGCAACCCTTTCAGCAGGTGTCATGCCATATTCATACTTTAACTCAGAAGAAAAGAGATTGCAGTCCAAATGTTGAGGCAGCTCTAATTACCATGACAGGATGGAAAATGTGTGCACTGTAAGTACCTCCTGTTGTCCCACACTAAGCCTAGAAAAGTTTTCTAAGACTTTGTATTGGGCGACAAGAGGTACTTACAGTGCACGCGTTTTCCTTCCTGTCATGATTTATTTGTCAGAATGCACATGGAAGGTGTTGACAGAGAAGTGCAAATGAAGGTAAAAGAAGAGATGCCTGCACTGGCCTCACCATCCTTTTCTCTCACTGCACCTGCTAGAGTGTTTTATTTCTTCTCACAATGAGCTGTCCATGAAATTGTTGGAATCCAAACTGATCTATTTCCCCCCACCCTGTTTTATGTCCTTTAATTAAACCCCTGGTAATACAAATAAAATAATTTGTTCTTATGTTTTAGTTCACTAATTAATGTTCAATTTTTTTTTCAGAGCTATTGTGATAAAAATGGAAGAAATGACCCAGTTGGATTAAGTTCGGCAGCTAAGAAAATGAAGCTAGTTGATATTCAGGAAGATAAAACTGGTACTATTTTCATTAAGGTCATTTGGTTTTATCAATTAAGTTGATAAAATAAATTGGCGGCCCTAAAGAGGTTAAAAGCTGATGTTTCAAGTGATAGCCCTTTGTCAGAGCGAAACAATTTACATTATCAACTTAGTTGATAAAACCTAATTACCTTGTTACCCTTACCAAGATTCAATACATGTAGAAAGTTGTTTTGATACAACTTCAGTCATTTCTGTACCAATCATCACATTCTTCCCAAAAGGGATTGTTTCTCAGCCTTAAAGGTTTGAAAAAGGATAGATACCACTGTGCCATTTTCCTTCGCAAGCATGGTTAATTAAACAATATGAAATTTTTCAATTTCATGATAAGAGTCCAGTTTCACTGAAAGCAAATGGTATTTTAATTGCAATGTTGTTGACTCTTTCCTATAACATGTATTTGCTAATGTTGACTGTTATCAGTGTCCATAAATCTACAGAAATTGTTGTTTAAGTTTTAAAAGAATCTCAATTTTATTAGACTGAACTAGCTTGTTAAGAACATTTATGTAAGTTAATATTCATTGTCAACCTTTTTTTGTCTTAAGTACCAAACAACATCGAAGAAATAGACACATCACTTATTCAAGTTAATGCTTCAAAGTCTGAGGTAAATGCAAAAGAACACTACTAATTTTTACACAAAAAGATTTAAACAGTTGCCATTTACTATTTTATTACACTATCGATTTATCTTGTATTTAAATGATTCATTGAAATTTTCTTACTTAGGTCGATAGGAGAATTTCAGCTTTCATGCAAAGCAAACGTTTGGAGGTTGATTTGCTGAACAAGAGGGAGTTTTGTAGCATCATTGATACAGAAAGTAACAATGGTTAGTGAGAAATAATTTTTAATCATTTTCAATATCCCAAATTATTTGTAATGTTATTTTTTATAAGTTCTTTTTGTTTTATTTGCATGTCCTTTGATTGAATGTTGCACTCAAATGACAATTCCTTTACTCTTCCTCTTTTATGTCCACAGAATTTAGCTGTGCACGAGTTGATGCAGTATTTGTGCACAGACATGGACAGAAAAGCCACATTAAAGGTATGCAATTAACAAGACCATTTTCCAAAAACAGAAGCTCCAGACATGTCTTTAGAGGGGTTCAGCTTCTTTCCCAAAGAAAATGCCCTACTGATAACACATTTCTTTACCCTTATTGCAGTTTTATCTTTAGCTAAAATTTGGACAACCACCACCAGATTGGTGAATAATCAATGATGAATTCTTAAAAGGTGAGGATTTCCTAATAAGGTCCATCCTCCATTAGACATTGCACCCTGGAAAAAAAAAAATATCAACTGCGTAAACATTCCTGCATTCCCTTTCTCACTTTACACCCATTATCCCAGCCTGGTTATTAGCTTGCAGAAAGTCACTAGTTTTTACTCTTGGTGATATGACAGTTACACAGGTAGAAAACACAAGTAGTGCAAATGAGGCACAAGCTCTTGGACCCGAGATCTCAAGACAAAGAACAACTGTAGCTTCTCAAGTTTCTATGGAATTTAGATCTTGTCCTGGCACAGAAGAGCGCTTCAGAGACATTGAGATGCACCTTGGATACAGACCAGGTTAGGACTTGCATACACTCATTGAACCTTAAAGGTCGGCACACACGAGGGGACTAGTCCCTGCGACTAGTCCGTGTGACTAGTCCCGGCAACAAGTCTTTGAAGGGTTTACACGAGGGGACCGGTAGCAGGGAGTAGTCCTTTAAGGTGTTCACATGAGGGCACTCAATTGCACAAGAACATAGGAAAATTAAGAGGCAAAAGATGTTTCTTAGTCTGGGGCATTACACGAAAACAATGAAAATTTGGCAACTTTTCATTGTAGCACTATTAAACATCAACGCAAATGAACTACACTTATTCAGTCGGATTATTCATGCTTTTACGTGCTGTTTTTTTTATTTATTTATTTATTTTTAACAGACACAGAGTCAAATAGGGTAAAAATTCCATCAAAACGGCTCCAAGACATCAGTGTATGTTCACAAAACTAAAAATAGTTTTTTATTCTTCAGTTGTAGAAATCTAGAATTCAGGGAAAATTCATAGAAACTGCAATGTTTACAAATACCGGAAGTCATGCATCATGCTGACCTGTGATTGGCTTATTTACCGTTTAGTCGCAGGGACTGGTCGCATAAACAGTTCACACGAAGGGACACACATTTGTTTCATGCGACAAGTCCCTTCGATTGGTCGCACAAATTCAAACCAGTTTGAATTCATGCGAACAGTCACAGGGACCAAATTTTGGTCCCTGCGACCACAGAAATGTGTAGTTCACATGAAGAGACTAGTCGCATGAAACTGGCCACTGGGACTAGTCGCAGGGACTAGTGCCCCCGTGTGTGCCGACCTTAAAAGTGACCAGCTTTTAATTTTCCCTAATAATTGATACTGCTGAATCGTTTGTTAAGTTCATGAAAATAATAGAAATGATCACCAACTTAAGAAGCTGTGATTGCTTTACAAATTCTCCTTGTCAATACCAAAAAAGTGTATAGAGAATATGGACACTGATTTAAGGGTGTAAAGAGTCAATATCACACCAGAGCTAACAAGTGTTTGCAATGGCTGGCACAACACTACTAAGAATTTGGTTGGCAACACAAACAAGTCTGATGATACCAAACAGTTGATATTGGAGCACTCAAAACACACACAGAGATTCAAACAGGGATCTAGCTTTCACAGAATGAGTCCATCTGCCCACTGCATTTGTTTATTAGTTGGTTACTGGAAAAAAATAATTTTCAACGTTGACACAAATTATTTCAACATAGCTGAGTAAACAGTGCAACTCAGTTCGTCTACACAACTTCTGAATATCAGATTTATTAGTGATAGTCTACATGATACAACGATTTCATGTTGTCCAACCTTTGAAATACAAGATTGAACTGCGTACCACTTCCGTGTGGAAACTGAAATACAAGGAAAGCTAAGGAACTACACCTCGATCTAAAAAGTCTCTGTAATTTTTAATTAATCAGTTAGGAATTGGCATCTAAACTAACACGTAGATGAAAAAAAGGGGGGGAAAATAATGAGATGAAAGGACAATTCTCTTACAGACAACTATAATTTCACTTATCGCGTTAATCGAACATAAAAATGGATAAAAATGTCAACTGTTTTGCGCCATAATTGAGGGCAACTTGAGTAAGTTACATGCTACGATCAATAGTCAATCCAATATGTCTCACGTCCTTTCGAATATTCCTGGCTGACTTTCTGGGGTTTGCAAACCAAGAAAAGTTCGCAAATTACTTGCTACTCGTGTATTTAGTGACGGCTTTGGTCCCTTCACTGACAGCGTGTTTGGCCAATTCCCCGGGAAGGAGCAATCTGATTGCGGTCTGAATTTCGCGAGAGCTGATCGTTGATTTCTTGTTGTAGTGTGCCAGTCTTGAAGCTTCTGTGGCGATCCTTTCGAAAATATCGTTCACGAAAGAGTTCATGATGCCCATAGCTTTACTAGAGATTCCTGTGTCAGGATGAACTTGCTTGAGGACTTTGTAAATGTATATGGCGTAGCTCTCCCTTCGTTTTCGAGTTCTTTTCCCTTTTCCTCCCTCGGCGGCGCTCTTCGCCTTACCAGCTCGCTTTTCGCCCTTTTTACCGACTCCTACTCTCGGTGGATTTTGTGGTGGCATTTTGTGAAAGTTGAAAATGGTGTTTAAGTTGTTGACCTTTGCATTTAAATGAAATTTACGTCGGATCAATTAGTATGCGGATCAAAATTCTCGAACCGCGATTGGTACGCTGGAGAAGAATAATTTCGGATTGCATATATTTCGTGTTATGAAAGCCATGTGATGAAAATATGAAAATTGGGAAAAGGGTTCTTAAAATACTTGCTTGCCCGAGGATTCCACTCCTATCTCCCAGTGAAATTGATAGAAACGTAGTAAAACAAAGGTAAAAGTTACATAAGGTAGACTAAGAAGATTCGCTACACCGATGTACAGGTTTCTCAAGCTTACTAGTCGCTCTCGTTGTCAATATTCTAAAGATAAACCGGCTGAAGTCCGAAATCAGTTCGATTAGAAAAGAGAGTAGAGACTGCCAAACAAATACGCAGTTGTTGTATTAAATTAGTAAATCGGAGCCTTGATTGGTCACGACTTTAGGAAGATGTGGTGGCTCCTAAAGGAGCCTTTGGTAGTAGTGTGATTCGGTCAAAGAGATCTAACCGCCAAATCCGTACAGCGTGCGTCCTTGCCTCTTCAGAGCGTACACAACATCCATGGCGGTCACAGTCTTTCTTTTAGCATGTTCCGTGTAGGTAACTGCATCACGGATCACGTTCTCCAGAAATACTTTGAGAACTCCGCGGGTTTCTTCGTAGATCAGGCCAGAAATGCGCTTCACGCCACCACGGCGAGCAAGACGACGGATAGCTGGCTTTGTAATTCCTTGAATGTTGTCCCGTAGGATCTTGCGGTGACGTTTAGCACCTCCTTTACCGAGGCCTTTGCCACCTTTTCCACGTCCAGACATGATCTGTATCGGGGAAGACTCTAAGTAGTATCAAAATTCTGATAATTATGATCAGAATTTTATTTATTATTTTGATGCGGACCTCTCAGGGAAGTTAATAAAATTTTGATTGGTTTGAACTTTTTGTGAGGTCTCTTTGATTGACGTGAGCTCTATACATGACGTAATATAAGATTATTTCCATAAATTTTTTATATCCGTTTTTCTTGCAAGCTTCAAGTATATCTCAGGCGGCCCAAGTTTGGGGTCTTAAAGGGAAATTAACTAACATGTTAAGATAGAATCTTTACGTATGATGCACGATCCTCGCAGTAGAGAGCGCTATTTATGCAATAGCGAAAATCAGACCTGAAAAAAAAAAAGAAAATCAGGCCTGTACGGGATTCGAACCACTGACCTCTGCGATACTCGTGCAGCGCTCTACCAATTGAACTAACAAGCCAACTGGGAACAGGCCGTTAAGTTGATTCGTAATAAACCCTTGATGATAAATCAGATACAATGTATATATGAAGTTCATATATTTTGAACTGCGGTATTAGATACGTATGATGCAGAATCTTTAAGCGTAATGATATAGAATATGGTATAGAATCTTTAAGCGTAAGCGTGTGCCGTTATAAAAGGAAGAATTAAAAAAA